TGTCTTGTCATAGGAATTCATTTTGGATTATGTCGTTTGTTTTTGTCTGTTTGGGAGCTGACACAGTCTCTATGGAGATGGGTTTTTGGGGGGGTAGCAGGAAGAGAGAAGCTGCAGAGAGGCGTGTAAGACTGCAACTCTGCTTCATAGTATCTCTATGAACAATACTTTTCTGTGGCGGTCTCTAAGTACACATCCCTGTCTTATGGTGTGCCACAAGGTTCTGTGCTGGGGCCCTTATTGTTATTAATATATCTACTTCCTCTCCAGCATGTTTTGAGCCCTTTGAGGACATTTGCTACTACTGCTACGCAGATGACATCCAGTTATATATTTCTTTTAAACCTGAAGATGTTTCTAAGCTGCAGATTCTAAATGTGTGCTTAGAATCCATCAAAGGCTGGATCGCTGACAACTTCCTTCAACTTAATGGAGAAAAGACTGAAGTCCTTGTATGTGCTCTGGACAGACATGTACCTAACATAATGAATGCTCTTGGTCCTCTTTCAACATTTGTGAAATCGTCTATCAGGAACCTCGGGTTAACCTTTGATTCTGCTCTTACTCTGGATGTTCACGTCAAATCTCTGGTTCGGTCCTGCTTCTATCATTTAAGAAACATCTCTAAATTGAGCCCTATAGTATCTCATACTGAACTGGAGATTGTTATTCATGCATTCATTTCATCACGATTGGACTACTGTAATTCACTGTTTACATGTCTAAACAAAAACTCCCTGGAGCGTCTGCAGGTTGTCCAAAATGCTGCTGCAAGGCTTCTGACAAAAACATCTAAGTAGTCCAATGTGACACTGTTGCTTATACAGCTGCACTGGCTCCCCGTTGAATTTAGAGTCCATTTTAAGGTACTGGTTCTGACATTTAAAGCTCTTCAAGGACAAGCACCAGCGTACATCATTGAACTTTTACAGCCCTATGTCCCTAGTAGGTCCCTGAGGCCTTGTGAACAGGGCCTACTTGTTATTCAGCATACAAGGCTGAAAACCAAGGGTGATAGAGCTTTTGCCACTGTGGCCGCCAGACTGTGGAACTCTCTTCCTCGGAATTTAAGATCTGCACACTCAGTGGTCACTTTTAAAAAACAACTAAAAACACATCTTTTTAGAATTGCATTTTATTAACTTCTGTTTTTGTTTTATACTTTGGGAAGCAGTTTGAGCTCTTTTATCTAGAAATGTGCTATATAAATAAAATTGTACTTACTTGCTTACTTAAACCAGAAGAGGGCAGCATGCCCATCTGTTTTAAAGAAATATCTTACTATGAAACTTGACACATACCTCTTCATCAAAACTCAAGACACTGTAGTAGAAGATGACAATGACATGACAATCTCTGACGAAACATGTGCCTCCATATTCAAACACGTCAACACAACATCATTATGTGCCCGCCATGGTTTAATCCAGTTTGCAGTGGTGCAAAGAACCCATTTCTCAAAATCCAGATTAACTTGTATCTATCCTAAATTCTCTCCATATTGTTTGTGACAGATGCAAAACTGCTGAAGCCTCACTGATCCACATGTGCTGGTCTTGTCTCTTGTCCCAGTCTCTTTCAGTTTAGAGAAAGTGTGTGAATGTGGCATGTTGTACAGAGCACTTTGAGTAATCTGGGAGACTAGAAAAGTGCTATATAAGAGTCAGTCCATTCATTGAGATTCATCATGTTACTTTTGCATGTTCTGGCACATATTGTTATGACATGGCTTGATTAAGGTACACAATAGGCTGACATCTGGGCAGCACAGAACAGTGTGTCTACAACTGGTCCGTGGCTGCACACAACTTACACATGGCCCACATACCGCAAAGAATGACGGCCCTTTGGTGGCCAAGATCAGGTTTGCCAGAGGTAATCCACACATGGGCCAACACAGACCACCAGTGTGTCTGCAACTGGCCTTGTGCTGGCCCATGTGTGGGCCACCTCTGGCAAACCAGATCTGGGCCACCAAAGGGCCGTCATTCTTTGCGGTATGTGGGCCATGTGTAAGCACATTGTGTGGGCCAGATCTGGGCCATACCAATTTTGCTAAGTGGGAAGTGTTGGGCTAACTACCCCAAATGTACAGATCATATGTAACCCTTTTCTTCTCTTTCTGTTTATATGTATGAAGAAAAAACTCTTAATAAAAATTCATTGTTTAAAGAAATATCTCACTATGGCTCTAAATACTACAAAAACTTTCTGCTGGTTGTCAAATGATTTATAAAAAGTTAATGTTTACAGGACTACAGTTTTTACAATGAAGAGACAGTTTTACTTAACATGGCGTCACGAACGGTCCATAGATCTGCATTTTAGGTTAGTCTATTACTCTAAACTGCCTGCATTCTTATTTGTAGTGTAAGTAGACTGAGTGCTTTGTAAGATTAGAAAAGCTCTGTGTACATGCCAGTGTTGTAACTTAAAATAACGTAAAACTAAAACCAATGATATCATTTGACTATAGAAAAAAAGAGAGAACTCAATTAGCTTTGAAAGTTTCAAGCATTTAAGGCAAAGGTCAACAGCAGAACAAACTGAGGAACTGTTGCTAACTATGTGTGTGTGTTTTTTTTATTTGTTATCTGATGCAACAAGTCTTGTGCTTCCTATCTGGTTGGTTTTAATTTCTGTGTCTGGCAGCTTCATGTTGTAGAGTTATTTATGTTGTTGTGTCCACTTTCTGCACTTGAATATGCTGGATTTTTGTGGCTGAATGGATCAGTGGGAGATTGTGTCAAGATACCAGTGTGTGTCAGACCATTTTGTTAGTAGTGAAAGCTGAGCCCAAGATCAAGGCGGTGGACAGGACTCTTTCTGTTTCTGTTTCCATTAGACAGACAGAGTCAGCCTGAAATGTCTGTGACACGAGACCAAGACTGGACAATGTGAAAATGTCTTGTCATAGGAATTCATTTTGGATTATGTCTGTTTGTGAATTTAAGAGATCGGAAATCATTTTGTGGCAGGAGGTTTTTAAAGCCCTCCTCTTCTTTCTGTTTGACAGGAAATGCTTTCTATTTTGAATCTTGTCAAAAGTTTATTTCAGACTCACTGAAAGTCACACAACAGTAAAATGTCTGAAGCTGGAGTACTATACTCTAATGTGAAGTTTACAAGAGAGAAGAAAGCTAATGGTGAGTTTATCTCATCATTGGAGAAAATCTCCTAAAAATTGTTATTTTTCTTTTTTTTGCCTGCATTTAATCACCAGGCTTCATCACTTTGAGCAGAAATCTGGTTTCATATTTTTGTTACAGTTGTCATTTCCTCGTTGCCTGACACCACTTACTCTGAAGTAACAATCTCAAAGACTCAGCGGTCCACAACAGAGTCACTTGGTAAGTATGGAGCAGTAATGACAGATTTTCTTGACTGCATAGTTATATCTTGTGTTATATAATACGCATATGCAGATTGCAGACTGTGTGTGTGTGTGTGTGTGTTTTTGCAGTGCTTTCAATCAGAGTTAATTAATAGAGTGAAGTAGTGTGACTTTACCGAAAAAAGAAACCCAGTCAAAATGTTTTTCACCTGTCAAAATACAATATCTCAGGAAAATATTGGTCAATCACTCTTTGAAAAATAAATAAAAATCTTTTTCACCACTAACACTAAGACATCAAATTGTTTCTACTTTCATCAAAACCTTGAGGACGGACTGTGTTCAGACACAATCATGAAATGTGGCTCTAAATAAATAAATAACTAGAACTGAAATTAAGAAAAGTAAAATGTGAGATATGATAAATGGTGATAAATGTTAAACTACATGCATCAGACAACTGAACAAAGATAATGCAGTACAATAAAGTCATACAACATATGTAGTGGTGAATTTCTATTCATATAGTTCATACTTGTTTCTAATTAGCAAGTGTGAAAGAGAAGTCGACATTTAAAAAAAGAAAAGAAGAGGAAATTGCTCTGAGGAGTGAGATCTCGCTTAGCGTGTGGGTGGGTGTCTCTGTGTGCCCATGTCTGCAATTTATTTTGCATTTTAAAAAATGTTGATCATATCTGCTTCACACTTGCTTACATTTTTTTTACTGAACCTAGAGACTTTCTTTAATAATCAGATTTCACAGTTTAATCTATTTTGCACTGATATTTGAACAAGGCTGTAAACATGGGGAATGGCTTTCTTTTGAAACAAGCCTCAAACAGTCATTTGAGGAACATTTTTGCTGTTCACTAATGTGTCAGCAGGTGACTTCTTGTTAAAGTGCCAAACCACTGTGGTCACTGTTCTTTTTCTCCTTATAGTAGCTGATGTTTACTTATAATTTTTTAAACATGTTGAAAGGTCATCGTTGTCTTAAATCAGTATGATTATTTTATATGTGTGGTTTGTATAAACTATACATTTATTAACTTTTTCCACATCTCTATAACATTTCTTTCTCTGCTAACTTTTCAGAGGGGTACCAACAAGATGTGTTGAGCAAAAGGTCAAAGGTCACCACAGAGAGATTGGCCTTGCTGGTTGTCAGTGGTCTACTGGCTGCTGCCGTCATTGGTCTTGGTGTTACTGGTGAGTGGATGCGATGCTAGTTCTTCTTACTAGTAAATACCCATGGTGTATAATTTATAACTAGCCTTTATAATGTGGGTTTTTTCCAACTTTTCTTTTTACTTTTTAAGAGCTGTTTTTGTAAAATTGTGAACATTTTGAAAGAATTCAAAAAGAGAATCTGTCTTATTTAAGTAAAAAAACAAAAAACAAAAATGACACAGAATAATTTGTATTTTTCTTTTTTAATCAGTGTTTGACAACATAAGATTGAAGCAAATGTTCAAAAAACAAGATGATCTCCAAAACAGAAATGAAAGTGGAAACACAAATGTCTCAGGTAAACGTATGTGAATGTTCTCAGTGATCTAGGCCATTGTAGTTGAAGGAGCTTGGATGTAAGCATTAGAGACTCCAACGTTGCAACGCTGGATTAAACTTTTGGACTGCTGATTGACTCGCCCTCTATAGTGTACACATTGTTTAAAAAGGTTGGCCTCCTGCTGCCTCCAAATCACACAAACATGAACAGTGATTTCATCCACCTGACTTAAGTCGTTGCTGTAATCTCTTCAAAGATCAAGCATGTTATAAATGTGAAGAAGGCTGGGAGCAACATGGAGGAAAGTGCTATTACTTCTCCATCAGTAAATCATCCTGGAACAAGAGCAGAGATGAGTGTAGAGCTAAAAGAGGAGACCTGGTTAAGATAGACAGCAGGGAGGAGCAGGTATGAAACACTTTTCACGTTCTCACATGTTTTAGCACATCTTTATATTTCACCTTCTCATCACAGAAATTATAACAAGGTAATTTTAATCTTCTTTTACTGATCAGACTTTCCTGAACAGAAGACTGAGAGATGTAATGACTGAAGCTGAGGACAAGTTCTGGATCGGACTGACAGACTCAGCAGTAGAGGGCAGATGGTTGTGGGTGGATGGGTCACAACTAAATCAAAGGTTTGATTGTTGTAAAAATAAATTTGTTAATTTCCTGTATTAAACTTTCACTGAACCAGTTCTGTCTGTTCTTCATATCTTAGTTTGACGTTTTGGAGGATGAAGGAGCCAGACAATTGGAACGGGACACATGGAGAACATCCTGATGGAGAGGACTGTGTGAGGATGGGAGAAAAAAGTGAAGCTGATAGTCTGGAGTGGTGGTTTGATGCATTTTGCTCAAAGCCTCACAGAAGTATTTGTAAGAAAGCAGGAGTAAGGGAAAAGTTAAAAAAGGTATGTGACTGAAATTCAGTTCAGTCTATTAAACACCAGGTTGGAATGATGCGGTTTATTTTTAAGTTGTTTCACAAACAGAATAAAATCAACATATTAAAATAAAATTTGAGTAATATTTTGCATCTGATATTTTTCCTTTTTGAACTGATTATTATATACAAGAAATGTGGGAGCACCTGCACAACTTGAAGGAATTATAACATCCCAAAACTTTTTAGATACCCCTGAAATAAGGAATGTTGTGTTAAAATGGAGCAAGTAATAGATGTCAGTGTGAATAAAGAGTAACTGAACATTACAGTGTTTGATATTTTAACAACTGATTAGTTTGACACCTCATTTGACTCTCATCAAGGTAGAGCTGAATGAGGAACTGAAATTACAATGTGTTATTTTAGCATCATTTTATCAGATAAACAGTGTGACACACTTAAGAGGCTACAGCTGCTTAAAAACTGCTTATAGGCTGTAACTGAGAAATATGAATATATGACTGTTAACACAGTTTTCTACACCTGTTTCTCCTCTGGGGTATTCTTGCTCTGGGTAAAGTATTTCTGATTATGAATAAAGTTAAATGTACACACCATAAACAGAATGCTGGACTGTGTTGTGCTGGGGTTGATGCAAGCATTAGGATGTGTGGTTTCCACATTGTAATTCCACATTGTTGTGGAATTATGGAAAACGCAAAATGGTGCATGAAATGCAAACATTTCACATTTTCTTACTTCAAGAAGCTCAGAGTGAATAAACTGCAATTTAGAAGGGCTTTTAAATGGTTAAATATTTCGTGTATGTTGTAAGGAAATAATATTTAGATATTAAGTATATACATATTTTTATTTTTGTTACTTTCTTTCTCGGAGTCCTTTTTACAATTAATCTATAGTTAGGGCTATAATTTTGGACAACAACACTGTTTTTCTGTTTGTTTGTTTGTTTGTTTGTTTTTTGCCTCCATACACCGCCACAATGAACTGACGGGAAACATCTGCACCTGGTTTGGGAACAGCACCAAGCAGGACAGACGAGATCTGCAAAGAGTGGTGCGCTCAGCCGAACGCATCATTCAATCAGAGCTCCCTGACCTGCTGTCCATCTACACCAAGGCCAAAGCTAGGAAGATTATGATGGACCTCTCCCATCCCAACAATGGACTCTTCTCACTGTTGAGGTCTGGGAAGCGCTTCCGCTCCCTTAAGGCCAAAACAGAGAGAATGAGGAGGAGCTTCTTCCCCCAGGCTATTCAGGCCCTGAACCAGGTGTAGAACTGGACACTCTCACACACATCACATCACCACACGCACTCTGGTTTTTCTTCATGCACACTTCCTATAATTTATAATCTCTTTCTGCTATTTGCACATTTTTTTTTACTGTAAATTAAATCTAAATTTTGTATAACCTGTAAATTGTAAATACTGTAAAACCACTGTCATTTAGTGGTCAGGCATTGCATTGCACAGCTACAAGCATTTCACCTCATGTCATACTATGTATGGTTGTGTGTGTGACAAATAAAAAATTGAATTTATTAAGATGTGAGCAAAGAAAAACTCAAAAATCATAAATCCAAGTAACGGGTCCACAATGTGATTATTTTCCTGGTAATTGTTGTGGAAAATTTAACAATAACCTGCAACACATCCAGTGAGCTTGATTTGAAGTGGGTTTAATAAACACATTGCAATGTGTTTATTAAACCACACCAGGACCATCTCTGAATTGTGGCCACCGCCCTTACATCTTATATACGCAGACACAGACACTCTTAAACAAAGAACATTCCACAGCAGATCAACTATTAGCAGATCCTTAACTGTTCAGTCTAAGAAAAGCTCCGACCAACCATCACCTCATCTGCAACAGGATGTCCAGAGCCCTGAGTCTGCTGTGGAGGTGCAATAAAACTCGGGCCCCGCTTATGATCACATTCCACATGCATACAAACTGGTGACAGGAGTGCTCTTACTATACTAAAGTGATATGGTTGAAATATGTGATTAATACATGAGAAAAGAAATCTGCCACGACATTACTTTCTTGGTTGCCAGAACTGAATCTTCAGATGATTTCTTCTGCACATTGAAAAAACCAGAGGAAGAAATAAACTGAATATTCCTATGCACCCGTCTCTCCTCCTCTCCTTCTCTCTGGACATCCAATAACCATTGCTGACCTGATGTCCAGCCACATCTTATCATACCTCACTTTTTCTCGTCAAAACTGTGTTTGTCAGCCACTGTATACTCAATGTAATTTCTCTTATTAAGTCACACATTTGCTTAGTCATGCTCTTTTGTTGCAAGAAACTTTATTTCAATTGGTGAAACAGGCAGCAAGTACTGAAGTCTAGTAGAAAGAGTTTACAGACTTTAAGACGTTTGATTTTTTGGTTAATGTGAGCATGATCAAAACCCTGAAAATGGATTTCAGATCTACTATAACAGTCTACATTGTTAAGCTGTGGTAAATGAAGGCTGCCTATGGACATCAGATGTCATACAAATCTCTGCATGCCTACTGATTGTTTCAACCAAGAGTATAAGTATAATGGAGAGTCCCGCCTTTGGTCAGGAAGCAGTCATGCTGATAGGTTCCCACCTTGAGCTGCCTTTGGCAGACTCCCAGCTGATCATCAAAGAGCAAGTCCAAGTCATAAACCTCGAGAGTCAGCGTGTCATTTTCCTCAGCATAGAAGTAGGAGAATTCCTCGTTCCACCAGGGGTTCGGGTCATTGTAGCGAACAGATGTTTTACCCAGAGAAGTAGAACCACAGGACACCGTGACATAGGCATCTGTGGTTAACAGGATAACGGTGGGAAGATTGCTGGCTCGCAGATCATACACCTTGAGTTGGGCTTCGACCATGATTGAACTGCACATGAGCAGCAAAAGGACGAGGGGCACGCTAGAGTCCATGGCTTTGCTGGAGGCTGTGGAGAAGGAAAAGTAGATTTACATTTTAGCCAGGATACCTGGATCGACACAGTCAGCCTTGTGAGGATCTATTTTATATTGGATGGAACACATTTATGCAATCCTCAGCATTGTCTACATATCCTCTGTGGATATTGCAGTGAACGGTGTTCCTGAGTCTGTACAGATTTTTTCACTACACAACTTAAATCGCTAAACTCATCTGCTTAGCAATTTAATTAAAAACTTTTAAATACATTATTTTTTCATAGTATAATCTTCACGTGCTTTATCCGAAGCACACTTTCTGTGTACTCACTACCTAATTTATAGCCAAAGTATTCACTCACTGTGTTTAGCTTAGCTTAGCTCGTAGCCGACTCGTTAACACCATGGCTACTTCACCTGTCCCTCCTGCACATTGTGTCAGATGTTTAGTTACTCCTCGACCTCCTTTAACAGTAATGATATCTGTAACAAATGTAGCATATTTGCAGCTCTGGAGGCCAGGATTACTGAATTGGAGACTCGGCTTCGCACCCTTCATTCACCCGTAGCTAGCCAGGCCCCTGTAGCTGGTGCAGCCGAAGATAGCGTAGGCCCCGCTAGCTGTTCCCCGGCAGACCCCAAGCAGCTGGGGAAAGAGGGCGGCTGGGTACGGTGAGGAGGAAGCATAGTCCTAAACAGAAGCCCCAGGTACACCACCAACCCGTTCATGTGTCTAACCGTTTTTCCCCACTCGGCGACACACCCGCCGGGGGTCAAACTCTGGTAATTGGTGATTCTGTTCTCAGACATGTGAAGCTAGAGACACCGGCAACCATAGTCAATTGTCTTCCAGGGGCCAGAGCAGGCGACATTGAAGGAAATTTAAAACTGCTGGCTAAGGGTAAACGTAAATTCAGTAAAATCATAATTCACGTCGGCAGTAATGACACCCGGTTACGCCAATCGGAGGTCACTAAAATCAATATTGAATCGGTGTGCAACTTTGCCAAAACAATGTCGGACTCTGTAGTTTTCTCTGGTCCCCTCCCCAATCAGACCAGGAGTGACATGTTTAGCCGCATGTTCTCCTTAAATTGCTGGCTGTCTGAGTGGTGTCCCAGAAACATCAAAGTCAAAGTCAAAGTCAACTTTATTGTCAATTCTGCCACATGTACAGGACATACAGAGAATAGAAACTTCGTTACTCTATGAATGTGGGCTTCATAGATAATTGGCAAACCTTCTGGAGGAAACCTGGTCTTGTTAGGAGAGACGGCATCCATCCCACTTTGGATGGAGCAGCTCTCATTTCTAGAAATATGGACAAATTTATTAAACCCCCCAAAATATGACTATCCAGAGTTGGGACCAGGAAGCAGAGTTGCAGTCTTACACGCCTCTCTGCAGCTTCTCTCCTCCTGCTACCCCCCCAAAAACCCATCTCCATAGAGACTGTGTCAGCTTCCAAAAAGACAAAAAACAAACTAAAAACCAGCAACAAACAACTTAAACATAAAAAATCACAACGAAAGAACAATACAGTATCCACATCTGAACCAAAGAGTAAAACAGTGAAATGTGGATTATTAAATATTAGGTCTCTCTCCTCCAAGTCTCTGTTAGTACATGACTTAATAATTGATCAACAAATCGGTTTACTCTGCCTTAAAGAAACCTGGTTGCAGCAGGATGATTATGTTAGCTTAAATGAATCAACACCCCCGAGTCATTCTAACTACCAGAAATCTCGAAGCACAGGCCGAGGGGGCGGTGTGGCAGCAATTTTTCACACCAGCCTATTAATTAACGAAAGACCAAGACAGACTTTTAATTCATTTTCAAGCCTGATGCTTAACCTTGTCCACCTCAGCTGTAAAACTGATTGTCAAAATTGACTGAATTTTCCATGTGCATATGTGTAACATGTCATCAGCTTTGCGTGCTATACGGAAAAAACAACAACAACAGTATTGGACAAAGTATTCCAAGACAAAAGCTGGAATACTTTGTGCATCTACATGTCATCATTGTTAGTGCCAAAAAGTTCACAGTATCATTCACTGAGCCCTCAGGTTTCAAGGAAATGTGTGTGAAAAGATTAGTCTGCTAACAGCTGGTGTTGTTTGGACTGTGTTTCTGTTCACCTTGGTGTTATCACATGCTTTATTAATGGGGTCTTTTCCATAAATGTGACCAACACTGATGACAAGCATCTCTATGCTCTAAAACAAACAAACAAAAAAACAGTTAACCAGTTCAGGGTTGCAAGGGTCTCAAACATATTTTCTGTTAGAATGCTGAGTTTAAAAAGAACAAGGCAGCAGATTATCTTTTATATTTTCCTCAAATTAATGTGGTAACAAAATGAACTCAGGCATATGAAATAGTACAAATGAAGAGTTGATTCACCACACAATGTGATCAGATTATTATTAAAACACAGGAAGTGTGACCAAAATTATGGGAAACAAATTTAAAGGTTTAAATAGATCTAGATGATAAATTGAAGACAAAAAGATCTTCATTTTATAATATTCTACTATCATTACAATTTAATAAAATTAAAAAAAAAATTTCAAAGCGACATTTTTTGTTGTCTTCACATTATAAAACATCTAGCATAGGCAACAACAGTAACAGCATGATCTTTTTTTTCTCTTTTTTATTCTCTTTTCTTTTAAAAAAGAGTTGTTTAAAGGTTTAAAGTTTTTCTCCTAAATAGAAATCATTACAGAACGCCTAGTCCTACTTAAAATCCCATTCATTTTTCGCTACATGCTAGCATCTCGCTAACCGAGCTACCCTTTACATGCTGTGCTTTAGAAAATAGGATACTTGGTACAAAACCATACTCCGCAGATATTGATAGATAGACGAACACTGCAAATATAATGTTGGAAACAAGAACGGCCAGACCATCTTGATTGAATGTAACTTCGCTCCACACAAGTTTTGTGGTAGACATATTCATATTGGTATCTAATAAATGATTAATTCTTAGATTTTATCGAACGTTAATTTATAAATTGTTTCTGTCTTTATGTGTTTGTTTCAGATAATGCAAGATGAAATTATTCAGTCAGCAAGACGCTGCAGTTGCTGACATCATCCAACCGAACTGCTACTGTGATGAATCAGAATACAAGGTACTTTA